CCCCTCGGGCTGTCCGTGTGCTGGGCTTGCGGAACACGGACATTAGGGTTATCACCGCCACTGTCAACATCCAGTTCAGCAAGTTGCTCATGGATTGATTGGGCACCCCGATCCCAGAGGGGCTTCATCCCCAAGCGGAACTTTGGAGCCAACATCCCCGAGCTCGACGTTGCAGCCCGCGCGTGCTCTAACCTCCCTGCGGCAAGCGCTGACCTTCCTGCTCTGGTTGCATTGGACTTCGGCGCGGCCTTCCCGAGTCTGGCGCAGTCTTTTATGTTGATGGTATTTCGGCAAATGTAGGCTCCCTGCGCGTTCCTAGCTATCTTGGAGCAGCTTTATCATATCCTTGGCGCTATCGTTATGAAGAATGGGCTTCCTACATTTGCGTGGCGCATCCCATCTGGTATCATGCAAGGATGCTCACTCAGTTGATCGATATACGCGGCAGTGACGGCATGCTTTCTCTTCGACCTTCAGTCGCGGATGGAGGGCCCACGGCTTGGCCCTGCACGGGCCTGCGCGGACGATGTTGGGTGCGTCGTCAAGCAGCTTCAGGCACTCCGCATCCTAGCTGATGTGATGCAGACAGCGGAGAGGATCGCCACGCTTGTGCTCAAGCTCACCAAGTGCCTGCTGGTGCCGCTCCACGCGCAGTTCACGGAGCAGATGGCTGTCCCCATGCATGAACCGATCCGTGACATTGTCCCCTTCTTTGCCAACGTTCAGGTGGTTAGCTCTCTGACTTACCTTGGTCTTGTCCCGGGCCCTGCCGCAGATGAGAGCTCATGCTGGTTGGCGCCATCCATCAAGGTTAAATTGGGTTCGAGATTAGGCACGAGCCCGCTCGCGGTCTCGCGGCTTGCGGTCAACTACACTACAAGGATTACCCCTGTGCTCTCGTACGTCGCGCAGTTTCGCATGATGTCCAGCTGGCTTCTCCGCGAAGAGGTGGTGGCCCTTTCCAGGGCGTTCGGGATCCCTCACGGCACCTTCAACAGCTCTGCCTGGCTCCAACTTCGAAGTGCTGGTGGTCCATCAGTTCCCTCATGGCTTGCCATGAGCATTTGGGGCCCTGATAAGGACTACCCGCACTACGCTCCCTGAGTTTCAAAGACTACATGATTGGATGTACCGCCAACACCAGCTGCTAGGCGACCTTCGTGTGCTTTCTCAAGCTCTTACTAGTGGGGGGCGGCCGTATCCTCACTTCTGGCAATCTGAGGCCTTTGTCGAAACGCTGGCCAGAGTCCGAGACTGCCCTGCTTCCAACATCTTCCCTGACTACTCGCAGGCACACCTGTCCTCAGCCAATGCAGAAGCTGATCGGTGGCAAGCATCGCAGACCACGTCGATGGGCTTACAACGATGCGTTACCAAGATGACCAAGACACGCATTTGCCACCCCCCGCTGTGGACCTTCCTGGAGGCTCGTCTCGTCAACCGCTTCCCCGAGCTGGGGGTGATTGGCGGCTCTCTTGTTCCTGCGCAACGTTGGGTACACAGATGTCAATATCTTCGCGGATGCTCACTTCCATGGGCCTTCGCTTACATCTAGACGGTTGCCAATGGATGGGCGACTTCGCACATAATACTACAGCCACACGGGCGTCTCTCGTGCCGATTTGGTTGCCCGCGCGAACCTGACGCTGTTCACCACTACTTGCAGCGCTAACCATTTCGTGGCCTTCTGGAGCAGGGGCTTGGTTACTCACGGCCCTCCTCACCGCTGGGTCGTCTGGGGCTTATGGGCTCGGCTGTTGAGATGGACAAGATCGTCTTTGACGTCACTGTGATGTACTACGCATACACTGGTGCAGCACACTCGTCAGCCGCTCACGTTTGGAGGCGAAAGGCGGCGCGCTCCTTTGTCAAGGCAGCTGTTCGCACTGCACAACTAGGTGCCGCCGCGCCATCGAGAGCACCCCTAGGGACAAGGTGTGCTGGGCGCGCGACCTGGCAAGATAATCGGCTCATCATGCTCTTCCTCACCCTCGTCCTCGTCATCCCCGTCCTCCTCTGGATCTTCCCCACCACCATCGAGCGGCGCACCCCGTCCCCCACCATCAACACCGACTATCGAAATCATTGAAGGCGCTGTTGCTCTTGCTGAGGGTTCGTCTTCTTCGGGGTCTTCACCCAGATCGTCTTTGTCTCTCCCGTGCTGCCTTCCACCAGCGATGGCGTCTGCTTCCTTTACCACGGGCACGAACGACCAGGGGGTGCCACTCGCTTGTTATCGTGACAGCGTTGGCTCTGCTTTACGGATGGGAAGGAAACTGATCGCTGAGTTGCTCCCGAAGGAAGAAGCGTGGCGTTCCGTTGCCCGTTGCTCCTCATCACCTGTTTGTTTTATGGTACGCCCGCAGAGTGTTACGGCTCATGCTGGGATATCCATTGACTTACCGCCGATGATCGCCTTCGCTCTGGGCTTCCTCTTTCAGCCTGCGACTGCCGCCTATGGGGCCACTGCCAGCACTGCATTTACAACAACGACGAGCATTCCTTCTCCATCAGCAGTATCATTGCGACCAATGATGGGGCGACGTGGGGCTACTTCTGAACCGCACAACCTCATTGCTGGGCAGGTGTTGGAAGTTGGTAGCGAATCGCCATCCACGTCTGCACTTCCTGAGGTGGATCTTCCTGCGCTCCTTGAATCCCTTGCCCCGCCAGCGGAGGAGACAGGCCTTCCTATCGCTGCTCGCCGTCAGGCGCTTGAGGGCAGAATTGTTGCGTGGGCTCGTTCGTGGATCCCCACGCTGATGGTGAACATGTACGGCTCTGACTTCGACCAATGGATGCGGTGGTGCCGTGAGTATGTGGAGAACGTTCTCAGGTATGATGTTCTTCAAGGCCTCTGCGGCGGCTCCGCGAGCAGGCGGCAGCTCGCCCTTGACTGGTGTCTCAGTGGGTGGTACCACAGCGCTATTGCTCGTAAGCAATTACGACGTCTGCTCATTGACCCTTGGCCTGTACATGATGACAAACGGACGCGTCGGCTTCGCCTGCTTGCCACGGCACACCAGAAAAAAGCTTGGATGGAGTGCCGACCCCTCACGCATGTCAGCTGCCGACCGAGACGACTACCTCGCGCAGATCGCCTTCGCCCCGCCGTTCGCTCCTCCTGCGCTCATGCCGCACCTCTACGTCCTGCCGCACCTGCTCGTCGACTTGACGTTCGAAGCTCACGCTCAGGGCGAACCGCCGCCTGATGAAGATAACGCCAGCATCGACCACGGGGGTGCCCCGAACCCCTCCGACCTGGATCTCGTCCTCATGGTGGAGGGCGGTGGTAACGGCGACCTCTCATCAAGCCAGGAGGTGGATATCACCATGCGAGATGGTGAACATCCACCACATCCTGGGTCACAACTCAGCGATGATGAATTTGAAAGACAGCTTCTTCGTGTTCTGCGACGCTCTCGTGATGATGCCGACGATGGCCGATCTCCCGACCCTGCAGCTGGGTCCTCGGGTGATGCCCCACGGCCTGTATCTCCCCCTGATCCCACGACGCAGAGCACTAGCAGCTCGTCGGGTGGGTCTGCGAGTGCTGATGACAATGCTGGTGCAATGATCGCTTCGCACGGGTTCGGCGTCATCTGCCCTGACGGCTCCGTGGGGGGCGCCCTTCTAGCTGATCGTGCCGTTCTTCCTGTCCTGGTACCTCCGCCTGGGGACCATCCTCCCCCAGTCCCTGAAGCGGCCTCCGAAGATCTCACTGGCCCACAAGAACTGGGTGCTCCACCAGTGGATCGACTCCCACACGCTTATCCTGCTCCTGAACACGCTCTTCTTGTTGATGGGGACGGCCACGCTGAAGAACTATCACCACGCAGTATGCATGCTCCTGGCGCTCTTTCTGCCCCTGCTCATGAAGGAACAAGTACGCGCATGTGGACGTGATGATGGGAGTTACTGGCCTTATGCCGCACACTTCGCTTGCTCTCCAACTGGCTCTAGAGATTCTAAGCCAAGGTATTGACCCGCGCCTGACATCGTCAGCTTCCTCTGCGTCTGCTCCATGCGCGGCTACTGAGGGTGCTCCTGCGTCGGCCGACAACCTCTCGCAGCATGACAAGATCTCCAACCAGCAGATCGAATACGCGATGAGGGCATTGGACATTCTATACCCTGTTCTACAATAATCTAGCCGTGACATGATACGGTGGATGCTGCTACGCCCTGAGTCCCTCGTCGCCTCACATGACGAGCTGCCAGCTGACCCTGTACGTGGTCCTCTTCCTGTGCCCGAGCTTGCACATTATGCTCCTCCCTCTCATGAAGATGATCAAGCTGGCACTTCCGCCAGAGGTGAAGGTGCATTCCCCGACTACACGCCCTTCGACCCTGCTGCGCTGGACGCTATCGGGGTGGTCTCGTTGCCCTCCCCTCCAGCGGCCTTCCCCGGCTTCGACCCGTCGGACATGGAAAACAGCGGGACTGGTGATGCTGCGCCTGAAGATGATGGCACTGTTCCTGGTCACTCCGCACTGGTCGTCGACGCGTCCGACGGCTCCCTCACCCCCTTCGTCCCCGCCGACGACGCCCTGGACTTTTTCAACGTGAGCCTGAGAGGCTCCGCGCTCGCGCGCACTCAGCGGCCCTAGGCGGGGCTGACCTTGACCTTCTTCATGGACGCTCGTTCCTCCTCCTCCTCCTCCTCCTCCTCCTCCTCCTTCTCCTTCTCCTTCTCCTCCTCCTGCTTGTCCTTTTTCTCGTCCTCCTCGTGCCGCGCCCGCGGCGGCGAGGCGGGGGGCCGCCGCGCCGCTCGGGCGCTCGGGCGGCGCGCCGAGACAGACGGCCCGCCGCGCAAGTGGGTGCGGCTCCTCCTCCTCCTTTCCCATCCCCTCATCCTCTCCTCCTCCTCCTCCTCCTCCCCTCCCCCTCCCCCTCCCCCTCCCCCTCCCCCTCCTCGTCTCCTACCGCGGAGGAGGAGGAGGAGGAGGAGGAGGAGGAGGAGGAGGAGGAGGAGGGCACCTTCTCGACCCAGCGCCGAGGTGGAGCGCGAGCCCTCGCGTAGCACCGCCGCCTCGGGCACCTCCTCGCGCACGTGCACGTCGCCCGACCGGCGGGACGCGGAGAGGCCTCGCGCGCGAGCTCCGCGCTACCGCGCCGTCCCGCCCGAAGGCCGCACCCATCGCCATGAAGGAGACCTATCGACGTGCTCGCGTCGTTAACAAAAAGCAGAGCGGAAGGGCTCTGGCCAGTTTCGGCCCTTGGGGGCCCTCGCTGGGCCCCGGGGCCGTCCAGAAACGATTCAGGATGCGAGAGCCGGCCCAGGGGAAAGGGTCGGGACTTCTGGGCATCGCGTGTGGAACAAATCAGGACGTCGCAGGTCTGGAGAAGGGACCTGAGGGAAATGGGTCCTGAGGTGTTTCGCCGTTTTCGATCTCCTGGGGCCTTCCACGAGCCCCCAGGATATTAAGACAGTTATTTGGGAGGAAGCACTGGTCCTGGAGGAGGCCCCGGGGTCCAGGATTAATTTCCCACAGGGTCCGTTCCCTTCATGCTAAACACAGACGCCCACCCCCTGTCTCTGGATCCGCCGTACTTTCGGCGATTTTGGAAGTAGGAAGTAGGGCGAGAATGTCAGCTCGTTTTGTTCAAGCCCATTTGATGCCGATGTAACCGCCCTGTGTTGCCGTCGCTTGTGTCTGCCGTACCCTTGCGGACATATCCGCCCTTGCATTCCGAGTCGGAAGTCACCGCTCACCACCTTTTCCCGCATCGTTCGGGATGCAGCTCCTACAGTTTTCCAGTCGGAAAATCCACCAACTTAATTGTGGCGAATCCAGACTTGAACCGGGCCTGTCCCTCTACAGGGGGAATATTCAGGAGAAAAAACCCAATCATGTTTGTTTAAGGCATGTAGGGCTATAGGTCTAAAGGGCTACAGGGCTATAGAGCTATAATCAGGATATAGGGCTATAGGGCTATATGGCTATGCCATGGGGCTATATGGGCTATAGGGCTATTGGGCTATTGGGCTATAGGGCTATAGAGGTATAGGGCTATAGGGCTATAGGGCTATAGGGCTATAGGGCTACAGGGCTATCGGGCTATAGGGCTATAGGGCTATAGGGCTACAGGGTTACAGGGCTATAGGACTATAGGGTTATAGGGATATAGGGCTATAGGGCTATAAGGCTATAGGGCTATAGGGTTATACGGCTACATGGGCTAAAGGGCTATAGGGCTATATGGGGCATGGGGCTATAGGGCTATAGGGCGACAGAGCACCCGGGCACCCGGGCACCCCCGGGAACCTCTGGGCACCCCCGGGCACCCGGGCACCCGGGCACTTGGGCCGGCCACCGAAATCGGCGACCCACCTCACCTAACCATGTGAATCCGCTAGGACCCCTACATCGTCTGCGGACGATGTTCGGAATGTTTTTCGACCATCTTGGGATGTGTTTTGGGGCACTTTTGTTGATTTTCGCCGAAGGTCCCCCTACAGGGGGGCAGGCCCGACCGAAATCCAGACTCGGGGTGCCCAGAGCCCCTCGGGCCATGAAGCAAGCACGGCTCGGGCCCAGGGTTCTCGTCCAGTGTGTTTACCCCCGGTTCTGACGGCTGCAGGGCCGGCGGAATCATTTTGCGATAAATGACAAGGTCGCGTAGGGCTGGCGAAATTATGTTTGAGGATGTCTCGAGCGAAACGCTTGTTTTTCAGAATTTGTTGAGGATATCTCGAGCGAAACGCTTGTTTTGTGTTATAGATTGTCCTCTCCTGGGGGCCTGACTTCAGAGGATCTCTCAAGTGAAATGCTTGTTTTCACGTGCCCAGGTCTTGAGGATGTCTCGAGCGAGACGCTTGGTTTCACGCCTCCAGGTTGCCCAGACGATGTCTAGCATGAGGATTGGTTGAGGATGTCTCGAACCAGAGGCTTGTTTTCACGTGTCCAGGTCGCCCAGACGGATGTCTAGCATGAGGATGTGTCGAGGAAGTCTTGATCGAGTCGCTTGTTTGCACGTGTCCAGGTTGCCCAGGCGGATGTCTAGCATGAGGATGTGCTGAAAACGTCTTGGGCGAAACGCGTGTTATCACGTGTCCGGGTCGCCCAGACACAGCACAGCCCTCGGCAGGGTACATCAATATTGCAGCCTGGCATGTTGCCTGGCACGTTCCGCGGAGCGTCCCGTGGCGAGTCCCCCTGGCACGTCCCCTGGCACGTCCATTGGCACGTTCCGTAGCGCGTCCCCTTGGCACGTCCCGCGGCGCGTGCCCATGGCACGTCCCCTGGCACGTCGCTTGGCGCGTCCCTTGGGACGTTCCGCGGCGCGTCCTCCTGGCATGTCCCCGTCGATTAGTTCTGGGGCAGCTACTATGTGCTCAGGCAGCTCGAGCTTCAGATCCAGATCAATTCGGTCAGGACTCGGATGCCAGGGAGGACTCGATCCACAACGCTATATAGAGCACAATCGCGACATGGCACATCTCAGTTCAGCACGGCCCAGCACAGCACAGCCGTCGGCACGGTACATCAAGATCGATACACTCAATATTGCACCTTGGCACGTTTTTTGGCGCGTTCCGTGGCGAGTCCACCTGGCACGTCGCGCGGCGCGTCCCCTGGCACGTCCCGCGGCACGTCCACTGGCACGTGCCGTAGCGCGTCCCCTTGGCACGAGCCGCGGTGCGTCCCCATGGCACGTCCCTTGGCACGTCTCCTGGCGCGTCCCTTGGGGCGTTCCGCGGCGCGTCCTCCTGGCATGTCCCCTCTGTCGATTAGTTCTGGGGCAGCTACCATCTGCTCAGGCAGCTCGAGCTTAAGATCCAGATCAGTTCGGTCAGGACTCGGATGCCAGGGAGGACTCGATCCACAACGCTATATATATTTGTATATATATATATAGAGAGAGAGAGAGAGAGAGAGAGCACAATCGCGGCATGGCACATCGCAGTTCAGCACGGCGTAGCACAGCACAGCCCTCGGCACAGTACATCAAGATCGATACATTCAGCATTGCATTTGCCCGTCGCCCAATCAGGTGTGGTGGCGGAGATGATGATGATGATGATGATGATGATGATGATGATGATGATGATGATGATGATGATGATGCTGATGCTGATGCTGATGCTGATGCTGATGATGACGATGGTAATGATGATGATGATAAAGATGATGATGATGATGATGATGATGATGATGATGATGATGATGATGATGATGATGATGATGATGATGATGATGACGATGGTGATGATGATGATGGTAATGATGGTGATGATGCTGCTGATGATGCTGATGATGATGCTGATGATGATGCTGATGATGATGATGAAGATGATGATGATGATGATGATGATGATGATGATGAGGAGGAGGAGGAGGAGGAGGAGGAGGTGGTGGAGGAGGAGGAGAAGGAGGAGGAGCGAAGAGCCGCAGCAGGAACAGGAGGATGATCATGCTGCGGTGAGCGCGCCCCGCCCCCCCCGCGAGGCGGCGGCGCGCGGGTGCGCGGGCGAGGCCGTCGTCGGCGCGCAGGAGCGGGGGCCGCCAGGGGGCGCAAAGGCCAGAGGGGGGAGAAGGAGGAGAAGGAGGAGGGAGGGAGGGACGGGATAGTAGGAGGAGGGGGGGGGGATGGAGGAGGAGGAGGAGGAGGAGGAGGAGGAGGAGGAGGAGGAGGAGGAGGAGGAGGAGGAGGACGGGATGACGGGAGGAGGAGCAGGAGGAGGAGGAGGAGGAGGAGGAGGAGGAGGAGGAGGAGGACCCAGACCCCCTCTCTTCGTGCGTGGAAGAACGGAATGCATTTCTTTGTGTTGTTGCAATGTTCGGCTTCTGGGGTCCCTCACCGGGCCCCTGGGACCGTAAACAACGATTCTGGGTGAGAAGCAAGAACTTGGCGTAGGGGGTCGTGGAGGAGGGAGGTTCGAAATTTTCGGATGGCTGCGGAAGTTCTCAGTTGTTTTCTCAGGACGCGTTTCAACAACTTCTCCTCGCTGACCGAACGCGTTCGGGGGGTGCCCAGCGTGTCCCGAACGGCCGCCAGAGAGCCGAGGTAGGAGCCGAAGGCCACGAAAAACGGCATGCCCCCGAGAGGCCCCGATAGGAGGAGGAGTTGGAGGAGGAGGAGGAGGAGGAGGAGGAGGAGGAGGAGGAGGAGGAGGAGGAGGAGGAGGAGGAGGAGGAGGAGGAGGAGGAGGAGGAGGAGGAGGAGGAGGAGGAGGAGGAGGAGGAGGAGGAGGAGGAGAGGAGGAGGAGAGGAGGAGGAGGGGAGGAGGAGGAGGGAGAGGGGGAGGGGGAGGAGGAGCATGAGTTGGAGGAGTTGGAGGAGCTGGAGGAGCTGGGGGAGATGGAGGAGCTGGGGGAGCTGGAGGTGGAGGCTTGGTTTGGCGTGGATTGGCTTGGCCCTGAAGGCGTCAGAAAAAGGTTACACTCAACCTTCGTTTTCAGGGTCCTCGAACGCGGGACCCTCGGACTCGGAAGACGCGTCCCGCTCGACCGCAGTCCGACCAAATTCGAGGACGCCGCGGATGCCTCCGCTGGCGGCCCACATGTGACGAGCCTGATGCGCGCGCCCCTGCTACTCCGGAGGAGGAGGGGGGGGAGGAGGAGGAGGAGGAGGAAGATGAAGAGGAAGAGGAGGGGGAAGAGGAGGATGAGGAGGAGGAGGGCGCGCACTCACCCCTCAGCGTGGCCCATGTGTCCGCAGCGCTCCCGCAGTTGCGTGCGGCTTTCCAGAGAGTCCTCCGCGGCGACGACCGCGGAGGCAGGTGCTGACCGACCCCTGTGGCGCCCCAGGCGCGCCCGAGAAGGGCGCGCACTCACCGAGAAAGGACGGCTGCAGTGCCTTTCGTACGAAACATGTGGCCACGCGCAAGTTGGATGAGGGGGAGGAGGATGACCAGTGTAAACCCAAGACTCATCAACGATGTTGGAGTAAACCCGCCTTCAGGCTCCCTCTTCACAGGCCCCTACAAGTTTCAGTTCCACTGTGGGAAATGCTCCGTTGGGAGACAACCGCTTGAACACCCAAAAACATGCCGCAACGCCACTTTCGGGACTCCAACACCACGAATCAACCTGCATGTTTCGTTTTGACGTTTTTCCTGGAAAGGGCTCGGGCCCAGGGTTCTCTTTTACTGTGTTTACCCCCGGTTCTGACGGCTGTAGGGCCGGCGAAGTTATTAATCGCTTCGCTCATTCCGCCGGCCCTGGAGCCCTCTTCAGGAAAGTGCGCCAGTGGATCTCCCTGAATACACTAAAGGGGGGGGGGGTCCAGAAGCCCCCCCCCTCCCCCCCTTCAGGGTGGGGGAACCCTCCCCCCCCCCCCTCCCCCTTGGCGCTGGAACGGGGGGGGGGGGGGGGGCGGACCTCGCCCCCCCCCTCGTGTAGGGAGTACGGAGCTGGGAGTAGGGAGTGGTGAGTAGTGAGTAGTGGGTTACTGCGTAGTGAGTATTGGGTAGTGAGTAGTGGGTAGTGAGTGGCGAGTAGGGAGTAGGGAGTAGGGAGTGGGGAGTAGTGAGTAGTGAAAAGTGAGTAGTGTGTACTGATAAGTGAGTAGTGAGTGACGAGTAGTGCGTAGTGAGTAGTGAGTAGCGAGTAGCGAGTACTGAGTAGGGAATAGAAAGGAATGAGTAGTGGGTAATGAGTAGTGGGTAATGAGTAGTGGGTAGCGAGTAGTGATTGGTGAGTAGTGAGTAGTGGGTAGTGCGTAGTGCGTAGTGCGTAGTGAGTAGTGAGTAGTGAGTAGTGAGTAGTGAGTAGTGAGTAGTGAGTAGCGAGTAGTGAGTAGTGAGTAGTAAGTAGTGAGCAGTGAGTACTGAGTAGTACGTAGTGCGTAGTGAGTAGTGAGTAGTGAGTAGTGATGAATAGAGAGTAGTGGGTAGTGGCAGTGGGTAGTGAGTAGCGAGTAGGGAGTAGCGAGTAGTGAGTAGTGAGGAGCGAGTAGGGCGTAGTGAGTAGTGAGTAGCGAGTACAGAGTAGTCAGTAGTGAGTAGTGGGTAGTGATTAGTGAGTAACGAGTAGGGAGTAGCGAGTAGTGAATAGTGAGTACGGAGTAGGGAGTAGTGGGCAGTGAGTAATAAGAAATGGGTAGCGAATAGTGGGTAGTGAGTAGCGATTGGGGAGTAGTGGGTAGTGGGTAGTGAGTAGTGACTAGCGAGTTGTGACTAGTGACTAGAGATTATGTAGTGACTAATGCGTAGGGACTAGTATGTAGTGAGTAGTCAATAGTGAGCAGCGGGGAGTGAGTAGTGAATATTGAGTAGCGATTCTGGGAGTAGCGAGTAGTGAGTACTGAGTACTGTGTAGTCAGTATTGTGTACGGAGTAGGGAGTAGCGAGTAGCGAGTAGTGGGTAGTGAGTAGTGATTTGTGGGCAATGAGGCAATGAGTAGTTAGTCGTGAGTAGTGGATAGTAGGTAGTGGGTAATGAGTAGTGATTAGTGATTAGTGAGTAGGGAGTAGGGAGTAGTGCTTAGTGAGTAGTGAGTATTTAGTAGTGGGTAGTGAGGAGTGAGTAGTTAGTAGTGAGTAGGGAGGAGGGAGTAGTGAGTAGGGAGTAGTGAATAGTGATTGGTGGGTAGTGAGTAGTGGATAGTGAGTAGTGGGTCGTGAGTAGCGAGTAGGGGCTTGTGAGAAGTGAGTAGCGAATAGCGAGTAATCAGTAGTGGGTAGTGAGTAATGAGTAGTGAGTGCTCTTTGGGGCTGGGGTTAGTGGTTGGGGTTAGGATTAGGGGCTTGGGTTAGGGTGAGGACTAGGGGTAGGGGCGGCGGCGTCGGGTTCCGGAGTCAGGGGGCGGCGCGGCGAAAGGGGGGGAGGGGGGGGGGGGTCGGATCCCCCCACCCTTTGAAAGGGGGGAGGGGAGGGGGGGTCCCCGACGACGGATCGGGGAAAAGGGGGGAGGGGGGGGGGGGTCCCCGACGACGGATCGGGGAAGGGAGGGAGGGAGGGGGGGAGGGGTCCCCGACGACGGATCGGGGAAGGGGGGGAGGGGGGGGGGTCCTAACCCCCCGCCCCCCTTGGGGAGATCCAGGGTCGCACCCTCCCTCTTTAGGGCCTCTTGGGGGCCTCTTGGGGACCTCTTGGGAGTCTCTTGGGGCTCCTTTGCGGCGTCTTGGGGGCCCCCAGGGCCTCTTGGGGGGCTCTTGGGGGCCTCTTGGGGCGGGAGGGGGGGTAGTCGATTGCGGCTCCCCCCTCGGAGGCCACGATCCTCGTGAGGGGTGTCGAAAAATGGCCCTCCCCTGGAGTGCTCTGGTGGCTTCTCCCGGGACCTTGCCGGGGTACTTTTCGTCCGGGGGCCCCCAGGGGCCGCTCCGCACGCGCGAACTACAAATATTGTTAACCAGTTACCGGAATTTTGGATAAATAACGAGGTCGCGTAGGGCAGGCGAACTTATGTTTGAGGATGTCTCGAGCGAAACGCTTGTTTTTTTTCAGAATTTGTTGAGGATGTCTAGAGCGAAACGCTTGTTTTGTTCCTCTTCTGGGGCCTGAATTGAGAGGATCTCTAAAGTAAAATGCTTGTTTTCACGTGCCGGTCTTGAGGATGTCTCGAGCGAGACGCTTGGTTTCACGCCTCCAGGTTGCCCAGACAGATGTCTAGCATGAGGATTGGTTGAGGATGTCTCGAACCAGAGGCTTGTTTTCACGTGTCCAGGTCGCCCAGGCGGATGTCTAGCATGAGGATGTGTCGAGGAAGTCTTGATCGAGACGCTTGTTGCACGTGTCCAGGTTGCCCAGGCGGATGTCTAGCATGAGGATGTGCTGAGAACGTCGTGAGCGAAACGCGTGTTTTCACGTGTCCAGGTCGCCCAGGCACAGCACAGCCCTCGGCAGGGTACATCAATATCGATACCCTTAGCATTGCAGCCTGGCATGTTGCCTGGCACGTTCCGCGGAGCGTCCCGTGGCGAGTCCCCCTGGCACGTCGCGCGGTGCACGTCCATTGGCACGTTCCGTAGCGCGTCCCCTTGGCACGTCCCGCGGTGCGTGCCCATGGCACGTCCCCTGGTACGTCGCCTGGCGCGTCCCTTGGGACGTTCCGCGGCGCGTCCTCCTGGCATGTCCCCCTGTCGATTGGTTCTGGGGCAGCTGCCATCTGCTCAGGCAGCTCGAGCTGAAGATCCAAATCAGTTCGGTCAGGACTCGGATGCCAGGGAGGACTCGATCCACAACGCTATATAGAGCACAGTCGCGGCATGGCACATCGCAGTTCAGCACGGCGTAATTAGCAAAGCACAGCCCTCGGCACAGCACGTCAAGATCGACACATTCAGCATTGCAGTTGCCCGTCGCTCAATCAGGTGTCTTTGAAACGTCGCCATGCCTTACATTTCTATATTCCTTTCCGGGTTCGTGGGTCGATCATGTTTGAATCGTGCCAAAACGCCGTTGTTGGTACTTCACCGCCGCGAGCCAACATGTCTGTTGCGCCCTACGAATCCCGAATCTGTCCAAAACGCCATTTCTGGTACAATGACCATGGGAACCAGTGAAACTCTTATAACTGTTTTTAAACGAACATGCGCGGCCCCAAGACGAGAACCACATTTTGAAAAGGAGCCGCCTTCAACCCGTGAAACCCATCCAATTGTTTAACGAAACCGCGTGGCGCTAAGGCGAGATCCGCACTTTGAAAACGATCCGCCCTCAATCCGTGAAGTTTTTTCTATGTTTGAGACGAGTGTGCGCGGCGCTAATGGGAGAGCCACATATTGGAAACCACCCGCCCACAATCCGCGAAACCGTCCAAGACGAACGCGCGCGGCATTCAGGCGAGAGTCGCATCTTGAAAACGACCCGCCGTCAGTCCGTGAACATTCTGCCATTGTGTAAGACGGGCGCGCGCGGCGCCACGTGAGGCGAGAGCCGCATTTGTGAAACCGCTGCTGTTTTTTCAGCCTCAGGGCCGCAAGCGGCAGGGAAGTCTCGTGCGAGCCGCCCGGCCCGCCATTCCGACTGGCCTCGGGGTGCGACAGGGAAGAGTTAGTTGGGCGGGAGAGGAATGGAAGAAGACGAGGGGGAGGAGGGAGAAGAGGAGGAGGATGAGGACGAGGAGGAGGACGAGGAGGAGGAGGAGGAGGAGGAGGAGGAGGAGTGGAACGCCCATCCACTGAGAAGAGACGGTGGCAGTGACGCGCAACGCAGACTTGGCGACGCAGCGAAGTCGAACACAGAGGTTGAATGTTGGCGGGCATGGTGAAAATTGATTGGTTGTGGTCAGAGAGTTTCTCTATTTGGGCTCCGCACAGGGCATGCCGAGTCCAGATATAGACCGGCCTCCTGTAAAAGAGCCATACAAGATGCGTAATAGCTTCACTCATGCGGAGCACGACGTGGCAAACGAGATGTGGCCTCTGGGCTTGCTTCAGCTTGGCATTCTCCACAGGACGAGGCCTGACTGGGGGCCTCATGGTTTCGAGGGCGCCACGCGGTGCAGAGGGGTTCGCGCGAGCGCGGCGCATGCACGTTCGGCAATCATTGCTTCTTGACTGACGAAGCAATTGCGCAGGACCAGGCAAGAAGAAGGAGGCACGCTCTAGACTTCGGCGTTTTCGCGGGAGTCCCAGCAAGGCAAGGCATACGCAACGAGGGCGGGATACTGCTCTACAGCCGTCGTTTCACCGCCCAGGAACTTGCATTCCCCATGGGGGGGGGCTTGGGCGAGAAATGGTCGCAACCTCAGCAACAGCATATCCAACCACCTACGCCTACGAGAACCAAGAGAAAGCTCATCAACATTCGAATGGGCTTTCAGTTTGTGGATTTGCTTGGAAGGACCCCAGGCTGGGCCTCTCAGGTGAGCATCTTGGGCCCCAAGAGTACGTTGCTTGGGCTATATCAGAAAGGATGAGGTCCAGACACAGAGCAATTGTAACCAATTGTTGATAACCCGCCTAAGAAATCGCAGCTGGAGGACGGTGGATTGCTATGGCGAGGATGCTGATGTGTTCACCTACTGCAGACGACTGCGTGAGGCTCATCCCCGCCAGGTCCTTGAGTGTAACCACCAGATTGCTTTCGGAACCCATCTTGGCAACCCCCCATCCAGTTCTGTCAAGCTGCCGAGGCCCACCCCGAAACACGATTCATCCGGGAATAAGTTCTCCCGAGAGCACTTTTTCCCGGAAAGGGCCTGAGCCCAGGGTTCTCTTTTAGTTGGTTTCCCCCCGGTTTTGACGGCTGTAGGGCCGGCGAATTTCTTTTGCGATAAGTAACGAGGTCGCGTAGGGCCGGCGAATTAAAAATTGAGGATGTCTCGAGCGAAACGCTTGTTTTTCAGAATTTGTTGAGGATGTCTCGAGCGAAACGCTTGTTTTGTGTTATAGATGGTCCTCTCCTGGGGACCTGAATTCTGAGGATCTCTCAAGTGGATTGCTTGTTTTCACTTGCCCAAGTCTTGAGAATGTCTCGAGCGCGACGCTTGGTTTCACGCCTCCAAGTGGCCCAGACAGATGTCTAGCATGATGATTTGTTGAGGATGTCTCGAACCAGAGGCTTGTTTTCACGTGTCCAGGTCGCCCAGGCGGATAGCATGAGGATGTGCTGACAACGTCTTGAGCGAAACGCGTGTTTTCACGTGTCCAGGTCGCCCAGGCACAGCACAGCCCTCGGCACGGTACATCAATATCGAAACCCTTAGCATTGCAGCATGGCATGTTGCCTGGCACGTTCCGCGGAGCGTCCCGTGGCGAGTCCCCCTGGCACGTCGCGCGGTGCACGTCCATTGGCACGTTCCGTAGCGCGTCCCCTTGGCACGTCCCGCGGTGCGTGCCCATGGCGCGTCCCCTGGCACGTCGCCTGGCGCGTCCCTTGGGACGTTCCGCGGCGCGTCCTCCTGGCATGTTCCCTCTGTCGGTTAGTTCTGGGGCAGCTACCATCTGCTCAGGCAGCTCGAGCTTACGATCTAGATCAGTTCGGTGAGGACTCGGATGCCAGGGAGGACTCGATCCACAACGCTATATAGATCACAATCGCGGCATGGCTTATCGCAGTTCAGCACGGCCTAGCACAGCACAGCCGTCGGCACGGTACATCAAGATCGATACACTCAACTATGCACCTTGGCACGTTCCTTGGCGCGTTCCGTGGCGAGTCCACCTGGCACGTCGCGCGGCGCGTCCCCTGGCACGTCCCTCGGCACCTTGGCACGTTCCTTGGCGCGTTCCGTGGCGAGTCCACCTGGCACGTCGCGCGGCGCGTCCCCTGGCACGTCCCTCGGCACGTCCATTGGCACGTTCCGTAGCGCGTCCCCTTGGCACGTCCCGCGGTGCGTCCCCATGGCACGTCCCCTGGCACGTCGCCTGGCGCGTCCCTTGGGACGTTCCGCGGCGCGTCCTCCTGGCATGTTCCCTCTGTCGATTAGTTCTGGGGCAGCTACCATCTGCTCAGGCAGCTCGAGCTTACGCTCCAGATCAGTTCGGTGAGGACTCGGATGCCAGGGAGGACTCGATCCGCAACGCTATATAGAGCACAATCGCGGCATGGCACATCGCAGTTCAGCACGGCGTAGCACAGCACAGCCCTCGGCACAGTACATCATTATCGATACATTCAGCATTGCATGTGCCCGTCGCCCAATCAGGTGTCTTTGAAATGTTGCAATGCCTTGCATTTCTATATTACTTTCCGGGTTCGTGGGTCGATCATGTTCGGAGGTCCCCGTGCGCTGGCCGGGTGTGCTGAGGTCTCGCCTGGTGGGCGGCCGTCGGTGCTTTTTGGTGATCTTCGGCGGGCCTTCTCAGAAAGCGGCGGGGCTTCTCAGAAGCCGTCGTGCCTGCTGAGAGGCCTTGCGATCGTTCTCCGAAGCCACCAGCGATTTTTCAGAAGGCGCGAGGGCTTCTGAGAAGCCCCGCCGCCTTCTGAGGCGGTCTGCCCCGTCTCGTTTCCCCCCCCCCAGGTTCGCCGCCGAGATCCGCCGATGCAGCGGGGCTTAGCTGCCCTGATGCGCCCGCCTTTTGGAACGCGACACGTGCCGTGACCAAACGTCCGTGTGAGCACGCTGCGGGTTGGCTCGGCACGTGCTGGCGCACCGTTTTGGCGAACGTGTCGCGGCAACTGCGTGTCGAACTCCGTGCAAGCACGCTGCGGGTTACGCGTTGCGCATCGGGGCGGCTAAGCAGCGGGGCTATCTCGCGTTGTTAGCCCCTCGTCCTGCCCATGGCGCGCCAGGAACGTCCCGCGGCGCCGGCGGCTATCGGGCCGGTCGAGGGGCGGGTCTGCCAGGACCCCGCCGTTGCCGCGGGTTGAGCTGCGGGTCGGTCCGATGCCTCTGCTCCTCCTTCCTCCTCCTCCTCCACCTCCTCCTCCTCCTCCTCCTTCTCGTCCTCCTTTCCCTCCTCCTCCTTCTCCTACGCCTCCTCCTCCTCCTCCTCATCATCATCATCATCATCATCAGCATCATCATCATTATCATCATCATCATCATCATCATCATCATCACATTAATCATCATATCAATCATCATCATCATCATCATCATCATCATCATCACCACCACCACCACCATCACCATCATCATCATCATCATCGTCAGCATCATCATCATCATCAGCATCACCATCATCATTATCCTTACCCTTATCATTATCATCATCATCATCATCAGCAGCATCATCAGCATCAAGAATCATGTGTCTCGTCCTCCTCCTCCTCCTCCTCCTCCTCCTCCTCCCGCTCCGCCTCCTCGTCCTCCTCCGCCTCCTCCCCGTTCTCCTCCCGCAGGCGCGCCCGCTCCCGCTGCCTGGCTGTAGGCTGGGGCCCACGCTCCCTTCCCCGCGGTCGTCTCCTCCTCGTCCTTCTCCTCCTCCTCCTCCTCCTCCTCCTCTTTTTCCTCCTCTTCCTCCGCCTATTCCTCCTCCTCCTCCTCCTGTTCCTCCTCTTCCTCCGCCTATTCCTCTCCTCCTCCTCCTTCCTCCTCCTCCTCCTCCTCCTCCTCCTCTCCTCCTCCTCCTCCCCCCCTTCTCCAATTCCTCCTCCTCCTCCTCCTCCTCCTCCTCCTCCTCCTCCTCCTCCTCCTCCTCCTCCTCCTGCGCGCCCACCCCGCTCGCCTTCCTGTACGCGGGGAGACACGCACCGCCCCCTCTACGCTGGGTTCCTCCCCGTCCTCCTTCTTCTTCCCGGAGAGAGCGTGGGCCCAGGGTCGGCGGCTGTAGGGCTGGCGAATTCAATCTGCCATCATTAGCGAGGTCGAGTAGGGCCGGTGAATTAAACATTGAGGATGTCCCGAGCGAAACGCTTGTTTTGCAGAAGTTGTTGAGAATACCTCGAGTATACATATAACGGCGCACCGGGTCCGGGGGCCCGGGGCCGGGACCTCGACCACAAATGTGGGCTCCGGGGGGCCCGGAGGCTTGTCGGGGCTTGCCGGAGGCCCCCCCGGTCAGACAAGACGGCCCCAGGAGCGCCCAAGACGGCACAAGAAACTTCCAAGAGGCCTCCAAGAGGGCTCCGAGATGCTGAAGATGGCCTCCAGACGTCCAAGGACGCCCCCAAGAGGCCCCAAGAAGCCTCCAACATGCGTCCCAAGAGGGCCCCTAGACGCAAAAATTTGCCCATTCCCTTCGTAAAACGTACATTTTCAACAAAGTTGTCTTTTGGGCTTTCCGACGTTACAGGACGGCCCAAGAGGCGCCCAAGACCGCCCCAAGACGGCCCAAGAAGCTTCCCAGAGGGCCCCAGGACAGCCCAAGAGGGCCCCAAGACGGCCCAAGAGGCGCCCAAGATGGCCCAAGAGGGCCCCAAGACGGGCCCAAGAGGGGGCCCAGAGGGGGACCACGAACCGCAAGCTCGAGCCTTCCGCCCCAAGAGGCCGCCAGGAGGCCCCCAGGAGGCCCCTCAAGAGGCCCCAGGAGACCCCAGACGTCCAAGGACGCCCCCAAGAGGCCCCAAGAAGCCTCCAACATGCGTCCCAAGAGGGCCCCTAGACGCAAAAATTGGCCCATTCCCTTCGTAAAACGTACATTTTTCACAAAGTTGTCTTTTGGGCTTTCCGACGTTACAGGACGGCCCAAGAGGCGCCCAAGACCGCCCCAAGACGGCCCAAGAAGCTTCCCAGAGGGCCCCAGGACAGCCCAAGAGGGCCCCAAGACGGCCCAAGAGGCGCCCAAGATGGCCCAAGAGGGCCCCAAGACGGGCCCAAGAGGGGGCCCAGAGGGACCACGAACCGCAAGCTCGAGCCTTCCGCCCCAAGAGGCCGCCAGGAGGCCCCCAGGAGGCCCCTCAAGAGGCCCCAGGAGACCCCAGACGTCCAAGGACGCCCCCAAGAGGCCCCAAGAAGCCTCCAACATGCGTCCCAAGAGGGCCCCTAGACGCAAAAATTGGCCCATTCCCTTCGTAAAACGTACATGTTCAATTATCCCGGCAAAGCAACCTAACAGCGATGTGTAGAAGCATATATGGAAGCATTCCCCTTAAGATTCAGATGAGAATCCAGTTGTAGAGTTCTGCTGTTCTCGCAGTCGCAGTCGCATTCGCGATGACAGTCGCAGTGGCAGCGGCAGTCGCAGTCACAGCCTCAGCCTGCCTCAGTATCAGCCTGCCTCAGCCTCAGCCTCAGCCTGCCTCAGCCTCAGCCTCAGCCTGCTTCAGCCTCAGCCTCAGTCTGCCTTCAGCCTCAGCCTCTGTGCCTCAGCCTGCCTCAGCATCAGCCTGCATGCCTCAGCCTCAGCCTCAGCCTCAGCCTCAGCCTGCCTCAGCATCAGCCTGCCTCAGCGTCTGCCTCAGCCTGCCTCAGCCTCAGTCTGCCTTCAGCCTCAGCCTCAGCCTCAGCCTGCCTCAGCATCAGCCTGCCTCAGCCTCAGCCTCAGCCTCAGCCTGCCTCAGCCTCAGCCTGCCTCAGCGTCTGCCTCAGCCTGCCTTCAGCCTCGGCCTCAGCCTCAGCCTGCCTCAGCCTCATCAGCCTCAGCCTGCCTGCCTCAGCCTCAGCCTCAGCATCAGCATCACCATTCTCAGCCTCTGCATCAGCATCAAAATGCGGCCCGGGAATGGAGTTCTGGGAACTCGAAGAGCACGAAGTGGCCTACAGTTGGCTCCGGGCATTCAAAATGTGGCCCAGGAATGGAGTTCTGGGCACTCGAAGAGCACGAAGTGGCCTACTGTTGGCTCCGGGCATTCAAAATGTGGCCCGGGAATGGAGTTCTGGGAACTCGAAGACCAGGAAGTGCACTAGAGTTGGCTCCGGGCATCCAAAATGTGGCCCGGGAATGGAGTTCTGGGAAATGGAAGAGCACGAAATGGCCTACAATTGGCTCCGGACATCCAAAATGTGGCCCGGGAATGGAGTTCTGGGAAATGGAAGAGCACGAAGTGGCCTACAGTTGGATCCGGCCCCCCAGAATGTGGCCCGGGAATGGAGTTCTGGGAAATAGAAGAGCACGAAGTGGCCTACAGTTGCATCCGGCCCCCCAGAATGTGGCCTGGGAATGGAGTTCTGGGAAGGCGAAGAGCACGAAGTGTGTGACTGTTGGTGAAAAACGAGCCCGGCTCACTGCCGCCCGGCAACTCCCAACACCTGCCCGGACCCCCCTGTGGAGTGATCTGCTGCTCTCTTTTGATCCCACTAGAAACCTATCAGTCTTCGCTGTTAGGTAACAAAGTTGTCTTTTGGGCTTTCCGACGTTACAGGACGGCCCAAGAGGCGCCCAAGACCGCCCCAAGACGGCCCAAGAAGCTTCCAAGAGGGCCCCAGGACAGCCCAAGAGGGCCCCAAGACGGCCCAAGAGGCGCCCAAGATGGCCCAAGAGGGCCCCAAGACGGGCCCAAGAGGGGGCCCAGAGGGGGACCACGAACCGCAAGCTCGAGCCTTCCGCCCCAAGAGGCCGCCAGGAGGCCCCCAGGAGGCCCCTCAAGAGGCCCCAGGAGACCCCAGACGTCCAAGGACGCCCCCACGACGCTTCGCGTCACCAATTTCTTCTCACAGCGATTCCTGGGCCTGTGACTCGACAGAACCTAAGCGCGCGCGAAGCGCGCGCGTGGTTCTAGTGAAACATGTGTTTTGTGCTACAGATCGTTCCTCTCCTGGGGGCGAGAATTCAGAGGATGTCTTAGATGGAATGCTTGTTTTCACGTGCCCAGATCTTGAGGATGTCTCGAGCGAGACTCTTGGTTTCACGCCTCCAGGCTGCCCAGGCAGATGTCTAACATGAGGATTTGTTGAGGCAGTCTCGATCGAGACGCTTGAATGCACGTCTCCAGGTTGCTCAGGCGGATGTCTAGCGTTAGGACGTCCCGTGGCGATTCCCCCTTGCACGTCGCGCGGCGCGTCCCCTGGCACGTCCCGTGGCACTTCCATTGGCACGTTCCGTAGCGCGTCCCCTTGGCACGTCCCGCGGTGCGTCCCCATGGCACGTCCCCTGGCACGTCGCCCGGCGCGTCCCTTGGGACGTTCTGCGGCGCGTCCTCCTGGCATGTCCCCCTCCCTGTCGATTAGCCCAGGGGCAGCTACTATGTGTTCAGGCAGCTCGAGCTTAAGATCCATATCGGTTCGGTCAGGACTCGGATGCGAAGGAGGATTCGCTCCACAACACTATAGAGCACAATCGCGGCATGGCACATCGCAATTCAGCACGGTGCAGCACCTCACAGCCCCTGGCACGGTACATCAAAATCGATACACTCAGTATTGCAATTGCCCGTCGCCCAAGCAGGAGTCCTGAAAACGCTGTCATGCCTCACGTGTCAATATTACTTTCTGGGTTCGTGGGTCGGTCGATCATGTTCTACTCCTCCTGCCCCTTTCTTTTCCTCCTGTTCCTCCACCTCCTCCTCCTCCTCCTCCTCCTCCTCCTCCTGCTCCTCCTCCTCTCCCCTCCTCTTCTCCTCTTTTCCTGCTCGTCCTCCTCCTCCTCCTCTTCCTTCTCCTCCTCCTGCTCCTCCTTTCCTCCTCCTCCTCCTCCTCCTCCTCCTCCTCCTCCTCCTCCTCCTCCCACTTCTCCGTTTGTTCCTCCGCATGTTGTTGCTGTTCATGTGGCTCCTCCTCCCTTCTTCCCCTGCCTTCTCCACCCCGCTCTGGTCGGGCAGCTACCGAGACCGCAGCAAACATTGTCGGGCCAGACGTGGGCAACTTCGGACACGGGGCAGGGTGCAAATGAGCGGGAGCACGCGCGACAGGCCCGCATGCGAAACAATCGTTGGAGCCTCGCGTCAGCGAAACACTCTGTTCGCCGACATCGGAGCCCCAGTCAGTCCGACACGCGGGCACGACGTCAAGGCCGAACGACGCACCCGCTTTGTTACGCAACTCGTCATGATTGTCTCAGCTCTTATGCTCAACTCGTGATGCCCACTTCGTGCTTGGCGCTATCTCCAACACTCACTCCGTTGCCCGAACTGCGTGAGTTATCAGCTAACGCGTTTTGTATGTTTGATTTCTGTCCGGGATGAGGCTCTGGCCCGGCCCAGGGTTCTCTTTGAGATGCTCACCCTTGGCCTCGATTTGCGTAGGGCCGGCGGAATTGTGTTGCGATTAGTGACGAGGTCGCGTAGAGCCGGCGGAAATGTGTTTTTTTATGTATTATGTCTCCAGCGAAACGCTGTTTTGTTTTGAATTCTCGATCGAGGACGACGTTAGGATTGCTTTTTATGTTCACTCGAAGCTTCTGCCTTCTCACATCACTGTCCTGCGGCGCATCCTCCCTCCCCTGTCGCGTTTCATTCGACGCGATGGGTGGCTCCCTCGCACTCGCATGTCCAGGGTTACCCTACAGAACCCTGGGTGACAGCCGTAGGATTGCGCACGAATGCTACAGGCCTGGCGTGCGGCCGCATTCGCATGCGGTTAGACACCCAGCCCAATTGCGACCTCTTGCACAGCGAACTGCCGCAGTCTTACCTCCGTTTGGCCACAGTGGCTTTGCATTTAGTGGCATGTTCCCTCCTGCCGGCAGACATCTGCGCAGGCATCAGCATGCACACGTACGTCTGGACGCAGCCTGTACAACACTGCTCCCTTTATCTCACGTTGTCAATTGATGCAGGCTGCTTCCAGCACTGCTAGGAACCCCACAGAGCTACCATCATTTCATCATGGGAGGTTGCGGTGGTAGGTGAAGGTGGGGTGGAGGCGCTCTCGGCAGGTTTTCTGTTATCCTGCAAAGCCCTGGGTCGCAGCCGTAGGATTGCACACTCGTTTCATACATGCCCCCGTCTCCCCACATCACCGATCTGCTGCTAACCATCATTTTTCCCTCGCGGCTTCGACACGCATGGTGGCACTTTCCTATTTGCAGGTTCGGGGTTATCCCCCCCAAAAAACCTGGATCGCAGCACTAGGATTGCGCAGCAATTCTTCAAGCCAAGTGTACTGCCGTATCTACTTGCGGCTAGATACCCAGGGCTGACTTTGATGGACGCCCAGGCCACCCGTCTCGATCTACTGTACTTTGGCGGCGATACACCGCATTTTGCACACACGTGCAGCGTCGGGCCACAGTAAGGCAGCAACACTGTGGCGACAATGCGCCACTTTTCCGATCCCATAGGGATTCAATGAGTACACATCGGACGCTGTATACGCCTAGCCCCGGAGTACCAGCAGCACCTCAGCAGTATGGTTTAACTATTTCGAAGCAGTCTGGACAGCAGACTCCGATTCTTGTTTTGCTGAATTTGGATATACGTGACCACTCTGCCAAAGTATGACGTCTTGGCAGCACCCGACCACAGATAGGGCTCTTTTACTTCAAATGCCAGCCTTAAAAGACCAGCCTGCGACCCCTATCACAAGACTGTCTTGCTAGACTACTGGGTTCGTGCTAAGCCCGAACAGAATCATACGAAACGCACGAAGGTCCCAGTACCGATGTGGTTCGGGGTAAGCCCAAACACCCTGGGCGGCAACCTTAGAACTGCCACACTTTAACGTCTCTTCTGCGCTGCACGACAGCTTATGTGACAGCGGAGGTGGTGGATTCATGGTTTAGAGGTGGAGGAGGAGGAGTACCAGTACCGATGCGGTTCGGGGTCAACCCAAAAATCCTGGGTGGCAAACTAGAACTGCCACGCTGAAGTGTCTCTTTCGACGCTGCAAGACAGCTTATGTGACTGCGGAGAGTCTATTACAGCACGAGTAGCTTCGCAAGATCTGATATTGTCAACACAGCCTGTATCATCAGGCTATTCCGCACTCCCGCTCTCATTCAGGACAGGCAAGCCTTGACAAAAAACGACGGAGAGGATTACTTGGTGGATGGTTGAGGGGGTGGAGGAAGAAGATTTTCGTGCCTGGCTGACCTGATTATGCATTTGTTTCTCCCAGCTGACAATCTACTGGCTTCAGTGAGTTGCCTTTTGGTACGTCAGAAGGGGAACGACCTGTCATTCCCACTGTGGGCTACTGACCACACACAGCCCAGTAAACTTCAGCTGCCTCGACCTGCCCATGCTCCACCTATCGTTTGCGCTTACTTATTGCCAGAGCGATACGGGGCAATTACTGGCCAGCGCTGTTAATTCTTTACGACAGCACGCTCGTTTCGCAGCAAACTTATAATGACGGGTTGAGTTTAACTTATTGGGGTTGCGGTGCGGTGGTGAAGATACCAAGGTACCAGAGCTGCACTTATTCACGGACCTGGCGGGCGCCTACTCAATTGTCTACTCTTTTCCTTGGTTCGTTTTGCCACGTGGCCCGCGGCGACTGATAGGTTTGTTTTGATTGATTCGCGTCGCGTATACTTTTTTCCATTAACGCTAGGTCGGTCTAACGTCAGAAGGGAGGGGGAGGAGGAGGACGACGACGAGGAGGCAGGAGGAGGAGGAGGAGGAGGACGAGGACGAGGACGGAGAGAGGATGAGGATGAGGAGGAGGAGGAGGAGGAGGCGGCGGAGGAGGAGGAGGAGGAGGAGTCCGCCCCCCTGCTATCCTCCGGACCTCCCCCTCCTCGGGCCCTCGCTGGGCGCCCCCCCATCCAGGAGACCCGCGCGCGGCGACCGCCGGAAGGCCCCCGCCGCCGGCAGCGCGGCCCCCGCCGCCCCCCGCCCGGAGCGCCACAGGCAGCCGGAGAAGCAGCAGGCGCTCGGCCGAGGGCGCCGGGCGCGCGGCCAGATTTCGCCCTCCTCCGCCTCCCCCCCTCCTCCTCCCTCCCTCCCTCCCTCCCTCCCTCCCTGACTGTGCCTTCCTTCCGGCCTCCCCCTTGTCCCGCACCCTCCCTCCCCCCAGGGGGAGGGAGATGGAGTTATCGCATTTCGGCCACGTTCGCGGTACAGAGGTGCCCAAGGTTGGCCGCCGGGTGCAGAGGTGGCTGCCCGTTCTGACTACGACACTGGTGTCGTCAAGGTGCCGCTGGCCTCCATCGGCGTGCAGCGGGCCAAGGGCCTCATCACTACGACCAACGTTTCGTCGCACGGGAAGTTGGAGGACCTGCTGGCCCAGGAAGCCTTCTACTCCAAGCTGGTTCTCGTTTAAGAGCAACACGCTGGAGGTGACGTACAAGGCAGCGGCGCTGCAGCAGAGGGTCCAGAACCTGTGGAGGCTGGTCTGGTTGCACGCATGGGCGACATCACAGCTGGCGAGGCTGCCGGCACCTTTCCGCGCCGCCCCGTTGCCCTGGGGGTCCTGGGATCGCATCGTGCACTGCTGTGTCGCGTCCCCTGGGAGCCCCGCGCCTTCGAGGCGAAGGCTCCCCGTGGCTGCAGCTGCTGCCCGTCCGAGTGGGGGCCAGTCCAGGGCCTGATTGCTCTGGCCTCGATTGACGCCGAGCTCTCGCAAGCGTGGGACGACGTCGCGTAGATGGCAGAGCAGGAGCTGCGTGGCCGCCACGACGTTGTGGGCAGCGCGGCGCGGAAACAGATCTGTCGCGCAGGGCCGCGGCGGTGGCGCTGGGTGCAGTACACCTGGAAGCCTGCCAGACAGAGGCCACCCACCAGAGGTACCACCACTGACGCGTTGACGCGTGGGCCTTTGGCTGGGTGCGCCACTTGCGCCGAGTGCGCACCTGCCTCACGACCAGGGTCCCGGAGTTTGCAAGGCAGACGAGGCCCGATGGTCAGCGGCGCCTTGTGGCACTGGAGAAGGTCGCGGTCCTGTTGCACGACACGGATGCCTTCTTCAACAGGCTGCTCAAGAAGGAGTGGGTGTTCAAGGCCATCGACCCTGCAGTTCGTAATTTTTAAACAGCGTATGCTCGCGCTGGCCGACGACCATTTTGATGACATGGTGGACTGGGTGCTTGACCAGGCCAGTGGCAAGGTGCCCACCTTTGCCGAGGAACGCCATTAGAACTGGAGCGAATCGGTGGCGGCCAGCTTCCTCAACGGCGCCAGCAAGGCCTGTCGCTTCAGCAAGGCGCGGGCGCTGCGGGCTGCTGTATCCTTTCGGTCACGTGAGCAGCCGTACCAGCTGGCCGACGGCTGCCTTGATGACAGGGCCAAGGTGTGGAGGGCCCACGGCTGCGAGCGGCTGGAGCTGCCCCCTGGTGGGCTTCCGAGGTGCAAGCTGCGGTGCTGAGCTTTCACGAGCCCACGGCGGTGGGCCCGATGCGCCTGGCTCCGCGCAGCCTCCTGCACCTGAGTGATGTGGCCATGCATTCTCTCGCGCTCTTTTTTTATGCGGTGCGAGCTCTGCTGCATGTGGCCCTCGGCTGGGATCTCGACGGAGCTCGTGCGGCTGCCCAAGCCACACAAGCGCGGCGAGCACCGATTGATTGCCCTGCTGCACAGTCTTGTCCGCGTGTGGGGGAGAGTTCCGCTCTCTGGCCCTGCGCGCCTGGCTGCTGCTGCTCCTCCCCGGTTGCTCATCATCGAACTCTTCGACGTCTGAGCGTCCCTTCTTCCTCTCGGCCGTCCCCCTCCCTCTCTTTGCCCGCCGGCCTATTCGCTAGCTAGTGCCCTTTCTAGCTTCTCGCTGGTGCGGAGTTCGCCGCCTCGCCGCTGACGAAAATAGTGTTGGGGATCTCCACGGAGCTTGTGCGGCTGCCCAAGCCAGACAAGCCCGGCGAGCACCGATTGATTGCCTTGCTGCATACTCTTGTCCGTGTGTGGCATCGCGCGTGGTGTTCTGACGTCGCGCTTTGGGAGCAGGAGCGGGCGCCAATATCGAGGAGGAGAATGTGCGTGCAGTGGGGGGGATGAGCAAAACGAGGAGGAGGAGGAGGAGGAGGAGGAGGAGGAACAGCAGGAACAGGAGGAGCAGGAGGAGCAGGGGGACCAGGAGCAGGAGGAACACGAGGAGGAGCAGGAGAAGGAGGAGGAGGAGGAGGAGGAGGAGGAGGAGGAGCAGCAGGAGGACGAGGAGGAGGAGGCGGGGTAAGGGAAGGGCCAGGAGGACCAGTGTGATAAGAAAGAGGCCTGGGGGGATGTATGACTTCGGGGGACGGCGAGAGGATGGCGAGAGGCCCGAGGGGATGCGTGGCTGGACGTCGGGGACCCCGCCCTCAGGCTCCGTCCAAGCCTCGGAACCCGAAGGTGAGGAGCGGGAGCAACAAGGCCCGCGCCCTCGCCGCTCCGTGCCTGCGCACGCACCCGCAGGCCTGCTCGTGCGATCATCGCGCGGCCGACTGTGACAACCGCGCGGCGTGCTCGTCGCGAGTGGCGCGAGCAGTGTGACGTTTCATGGCGTGCTCGTCTCGTTATCCCGTGCGTTCTTGCCAGAATTACGCGTTTACCGACAATGACCCAAAGGCTTCCGTCGCGATTTTCCTCGACCCCAGAGGGTTTGGGAACGTGTCTCGGTGTAGGCTTCGGGCGTGTGCACCGGTGTGCATCTCGTCCAGCCTCGAAGGGGCCGACGACGGTGCCACGCGCGTCACCTGCAGCTCCCCAGGGGGGAGGTGAGACAGGGCTCTTCTCGGCGGCGAGCCTCAGGCGATCGCAGACATGGATCAAGGGGGCGTGGATTAGCGACGGGTCCCGCTTCCATGGGAAACCGCGGATTTCCGCCGCCGAGCGGGGCGGCACCGGCAGCATTTTGGGGAGGGCACCTCCCCCGATCCATGGATTTGGCGACGGCGCGCCAAATCCGTGGATCGCTAATCCACGTTTGCGCGCCCCCGAGAGCCCGGGGGGGGGGGGACTAGCGACGGGTCCCGCTTCCATGGGAAGCCGCAGATCTCCGCCGCCGAGCGGGGCGGCGCCGGCCGCATGCTGGGGAGGGCACCTCCCCCGAGCCGTTCGGGGGGCGGCAAAAGAGGGGGGTGATGACTAGGGGGGGGATATTACGGCGGGGGCCATGATATTCCCCCAGATTTCGTGGCGCCTCTTCTTGTTTCATCACGTCCCAGGCCCCCAACCTGGGCCGCGCACAAGCCGCGGGCCATGATTTGCACCCCCCCCTCGAGGGCTCTCATGCTCGAGGCTCAGGCATGTGCACGGACGCTCCAGCGCCTCTGAGCGGTCCCATCGTCGAGCGAGGCTGGCGAAAAGGCACCTCTCCTATCTCATGGTGTCGCAGTGATATTCTCCCCCCCCCTCTTGGACCCCCCCCCTCTCTTGGACACCCCCTCTCTTGGACACCCCCCTCTTGGCCGCTCCCGGGCCGTGCCTGCGCCCCCCCCCCCCGAGAGAGCCCACCGGGGTGGGGGGAAGGGAGAGGGCGGGGGCTCCCGGGCTCTCGCGGCCCTCGCGGCCCTCGCGGCCTTGAGGTGCCTTCCAGAGGCGACGCCTCGCCGAGGCTCCTTCTTCTCCTCCTCCTCCTCCCCCTCCTCCTCCTCCTCCTCCTCTGTCTCCTCCTCCTCCTCCTCCTCCTCCTCCTCCTCCTCCTCCTCCTCCTCCTCCTTCTCCTTCCTCCTCCTCCTCCTCCTCCTCCTCCTCCTCCTCCTCCTCCTTCCTCCTCCTCCTCCTCCTCCGCGTTCTGGGGGTGCCCCGAATCGTCCCGAACGGCCGCCGGAGAGCCAGGTTGTGGCCCGGACAAAAAAAAAAGACAACCAGGCGCCCGAGAGAGGGCAGGCCTTCCCAGAAGGCGGCGGGGCTTCTCAGAAGCCCGTGCGCCTGCTGGGAAGTCTTCCAGGCTTTCTCCGAAGGCGCAGGCGGCTTCTCAGAAGGCTGGCGCCCTCTCGGTTCCCAACATTTTCAGCCTCCCCGATGCGTAACACGCAACACGTAGCGTGTTGACGCGGAGCTCAACACGTAGACTGAGAACGTAAGTTTGACGCGATGCGTTCTCCAAAACGTGGGCCAAAGCGTTGAGCCAGCACGCAAAGTATCGGCAAAAGACGTCTTAGGCACAGTACGTGTTGCGTTTCAAAACGGGCGTATCGAGGCAGCTAACTCCAAGGTGACGAATAATGGGCAACATCGGAGGCCCAGAGGTTGACACCAACACCATTATCGGCGGCGTGCCTCCGCCGAGGGCAGATGATCCTGGTTTCAGCGATGGTGGTAATATTCCTGCTACCTAGATGTCCGAAATATTACAACCGACACCAAAGTCTAGGGTCATCTCCTCCTGGTGGAGGCAGCCTCCTGTTTTTTGGTGTTAGTGCCCATTTTCAGGCCCCCAATACCAGGCTGGTGCCCCCCCCTCCTGGGCACCCCCAGGAGGGCCTCTCACTTCCTTTGGCGGCGAGCGAGGGGGCAAGTGAGAAGTACAAGGCCTTCCCAGAAGATTCGGAAGTCCCCTGGCCTTCTGAGAAGTTTTCTAAGCCTTCCCCGAAGACGGAGAAAACAACATGTCAGAAGGCGCGAGGGCTTCTGAGAAGTCCCGCCGCCTTGTGAGAAGGCCTTCGCCTTCTCACTTCCCCCCCTCGCTCGCCGCCGAAGCAGGCTGGTGCCCCCCCCCCCTCCCGGGCCCCCCCCTGGGGTGCCTCTCCGCTTCCCCCCCCTGGACTCGCCGCTGGCTCTGGCCTGTCGCCTGGCCGTCGCGCCGCGGGCGCGAGTGGGCTGGTCCGCGTGTGGATTTTGGCCGCCGGGCCCCTCACCCAGCCACGCGCAGAGGGGGGTGGGGGGAGGGGGGAGGGCTTCTTAGAAGCTCCCCTGCTTCTTAGAAGGCGCGGGCCTGATCTGTAGATGTAGGGCCGGCGCCTTCTAAGGAGCAGCCTCCTTCTAAGAAGCCCTCCCCCCTCCCTCCACCCCCTTGTGCGCACCGCCAGGTGGCGAAGCGTCCTGGCTTGGCGGGCAGGCCCACCAAAGAATGTTCCAAGAACCTTCTTGTGGTTCGTCAGAGGAGAACAACATGTACCCATTGTTATCGCTACCCTTCGGCCGTTTCCCATTTCTCGGCCTGGGGGGCCCTCGTCGCCACCGCTGGATTCGCCTCGAAATCCTGGTCGGAACGTGCCCCGGGAGAGGTCCCCGGGGAGTAGCGGTACCGGTGCCATTTGGGTTCCCCAGTTTGCACGAGATGTTCGTAGAACATGTTCGGTTGAGGCCGTCTTGTCTTGCTTTAGCACATCGGGCTGGTCTTCTTAGAACATTGTTTTTGTTCTTGGATCATTATTTCCTTTTAGGAGCATGTCGTGGTAGGCCTATAGGAATGCCGGGACGGTCGGTCCCTCTCAAGCTCTTGGTGGCCCAGACCCCGTCGCGTCGTGAAAAAGTCACGTCGGGGTTTATTTGTTACACCACTTTCGGCCTCCGGGGACCCTCGCCAGGACCTGGGACCGCCAAAAAAACAGCACGGGATGAAAAGCCAGTTCCCAAGAATGGATCGAGACCTCTGCGGGTCGCCGTTGCGAAAAAAGCATGACGTCAGGGGACCCAAGCCCCTGGCCGTAACATCCCACCTTTTCTTTTCCCCATTCCATAGCGGCCTTTCCGCTCATCGCTCCCCTGGCTCGCGTCCGTTTCCTTTTCCCGAGGGTTCTGCTCATGTGGGCACAGGGTCCAGGTTTGTTGTTGTCCGCCCGCGCACGGCTCTGATTAGCAGCCTTCGTCTCCCATGCCATCCTTTCGCTTAGTATCCGCGCATGTTGTGGCCTGACTTTTTTTTGAATGTGTGCAACTCTCACACGTGGTGGAGGGCAGATCCTTGTCAAAACGTGGCTATCGCAGGAGCATGCCTTGAACTTCATCATCAGACCTTGTCGTTGTTAGCGAGCAGGATGAGGGTGGGTTGTGTACAAAGTGGGGCATCGCTTGAGTGGCAGGCAATCGCAGTGGATAGGTGAGGGGGCCTGGCACGTACTGCTGTATCGTTGACGCATCCTGGGTTGACTTTGGTTCTCCTCCCCCTTCTCCTGCTCCTCATCATCATCGCCGTCATCATCGCCACGGTCATCATCGTCGTCATCACCAGCAGCAGCATCATCAGCTTCAGCATCAGCCTCATCATCATCAGCAGCATCATCATCACCACCATCATCAGCAGAAGCAACATCAGTAGTATCATCAGCATCATCATCATCACCATCACTACCACCACCATCATCATCAACATCATCACAAGCATCATCATCAGCATCATCATCACCATCATCGTCATCATCCTCATCATCATCCTCATCAGCATCATCGTCATCCCCATCATCATCATCATTATCATCATCATCATCATCCTCCTCATCATCATCATCATCATCATCATCATCATCACCATCATCATCATCACCATCACCATCACCATCACCATCACCACCACCATCATCATCATCCTCATCATCATCATCATCATCATCATCATCATCATCATCACTATCATGTTCATCGTCATTAGCAGCATCATCGTCGTCATCCTCCCCCTTCTTCCTCTTCCTTGATCGCCGAACGTGAGGCGCAGCACGCCTGAGGACTGCAAACAGAAGTCCAGCCACTCGTGACTAACAAAACCAAGTCTCTTCCTCATCCACACATCCTTCACCACCCCATCTTCCTTCTCTTCCCTCTACCCTCCTTCTCCTCCCTCATCCCGTCTCCTCCTCCTCCTCCTCCTGCCCTGCCTCTTCCTCCTTCTCCTACTCCTCCACCTCCTCCTATTCATTCGCCTTCTCCGCCTCCTCCGATCCCTCCGCCTCCCCCTCCTCCTCCTCCCACCCCCCTCCTCCTCCTCCTCCTCCTCCTCTTCCTCCTCCTCCTTGTGGACGTTCGCTCTCCCTCCTCCCGTCGTCCTCCTCCTCCTCTTCCTCCTTTTCCTCCTCCTTCTCCTTTTCCTCCTCCTTCTCCTCCTCCTCCTCCTTCTCCTTCTCCTCCTTCTCCTCCTCCTCCTCCTCCTCCTCCTCCCCCTCCTCCTCCCTCACCCTCTCCCTCCCCCTCGCCGTCCCCCCTTCCCCCTCCCCCATCCTCCTCCTCTTCCCTCCACAATTACACAATATGGCCGCTTTTAACAAGCAGAAGTGATGTGTAAGCAGATGCAGGATCGCCGCATCGACGTCCCGTCGACGTACTTGCTCAAGTCTGGAGGGGGGGCACAGCTGCCCCCAGCCCATGCTCGCCCGTGGGCTTGGGCTCTCGATCCTCGCACATTTCAGTGCCATCGGCCTCGCGCGCTGGTGGCTCACGCCTGTGGGGCCTGCCGCTGTGCCGTTGGTGCCGCCTTCGGCTGCTGGAGGCTCCGC